TGTTTTCCAACTTTATTGTTTGGCATTGAAATGCGTTACGTATTAATTAATTAATTAAAGATATTACTTTATTTTAAAAGAGGTGGTGTACATGCAGTACAGCGTGTTGTGATGTTCCAATTAGTGACCGATTTACAAGAACTGCTACCTTTCTGAGACAAAGGATGTTTCACGCGATTAACTTGATAATACTTTGTCTAATTTGTATGTGCCTTAGAAGCACACTTTAATTAGTAGATGACAAGGGGTGCCTTTAAGATCATTGAATTAATGGTGTTCCATCTTTTGTTTTTTTTTGTTGAGTTTTTTGTGCTTTCTCCCCTAGCAGGTCTCCGTAGATCGTAGTTCCTTCTGGACCCTGGTCCTGACACCTACCGTGGCCCTGCTGACGCCTGCTGCTGCCATCATCATCGTCACCATTATTATTTTATATATTAATCATATTACTGTACTCGTAAACCAACATTAGCCTCTCCTAAAGTCTCTGCTCTCCCTCCCCACAGGCTCCTGTGGATTGACATAGACATAGAATTAGCTAACGTTAGCTACAACTTGATGGTGGTTGCCCCTGCAGTGGTCCTGCTGTGCGCCTGGCTTACTACTCACAATTACTTGAATCATTTCTGTCATATAATTGCATGTATTATACATTGTTCATTCTGTACACATGGCATCCATTGTAGTCTGTCCATCCCGGGAGTGGGATCCCTCCTCTGACGTTCTCCCTAAGGTTTCTTCCCTTTTTTCCCTCTTGGAAGGGTTTTTTCATTTTTTTGGGGAGTTTTTCCTGTGCCGATGGTGGGTTTCGGGACAGAGGATGTTGTATGTGTACAGACTGTAAAGCCCTCTGAGGCAAATTTGTAATTTGCGATGTTGGGATGTACAAAGTAAAATGAATTGAAATTGAATTGAAGGGACTTGAACCCTCAACCTTCTGATTCAAGGTCAGACGCCTTGTCCATTAGGCCACATGGTCACAAAATACCTTCACTCTTTACAAGTGCTATTGTTAACTTGCTGCGTAGGAGGGTATCATCTTTTTTTATACAAAGGTATATTGCAATTGTGGCCTACGTTTAGCATTGTGGATTGGCATGTTGTTTCAAGTTTGGGGCACAGTGGAATTTTTGCCATCATTTGTATTTTTGCAAGTATAATACCTGGCAACACCTAATATTTCAACTCCATCATGAATTCAAACATCTACTGCAGGTGTGATCGGAATCCTCGTTGAACGATTGTCGCTGGGAAGTTTGGGGATTAAAATTGTACTCACAAAGTATTACCAATATGAGGTGAAGGACACGGTTTTAATTTTTTTTGACCAATTGCTTTGCAGAAAGTACTTGAAAATGTTACCAATTTTTGACCGTCACTAAGTGTGATCACCGAATGGATCCACAAAATAACCTTTGGATGAAGATAGATCATTAAAGTTGGAGAAGATGAACCATCATCCAATTTGGCCCTTATTCCCGTCCCCTAAATCCAGATTGTATGCCAGAAAAGACCTTCTAAGCGAAGGTAGTATAAAATTGTTTACGCCGTGTAAGTGCTTATTAGTTTTAGTTGCAATATTGCGGTTGAGGTGGATCAGATAGCGGATAATTAAACTTGGAGAAAGAAACGATCAGCCACCTTTCTCTTGGATTTTTCTTTGGAATAGAACTGTTTTACAAGCTGGAATCACACAAAGTTGGATGTTGTGTTCAACCCTTTAGATGTCTTTGGCCATTATGGGGATTGAACCCATGACCTTGGCGTTATTAGGACCACGCTTTGACCATCTGAGCTAACCGGCCCTTGTCTCTTATCCAAGTCCACTAAATCCAGATTGTTTGCCAGAAAATACCTTCTAAATGTAGGCAGTATAAAATTGTTTACGGTGTGTAAGTGCCTATCAGTTTTAGTTGCAATATTGCGGTTGAGGTGGATCAGATAGCGGATAATTAAACTTGGTGAAAGAAATGATCAGCCACCTTGGATTTTTCTTTGGAATAGAACAGTCTTATTAGCTGGCATCACACAGTAACGTTGGATGTTGTGTTCCATACTTTAGATGTCTTTGGCCAGTATGGGAATTGAACCAATAGCCCTTAGTTCAAACCCACTCCACTAAATCCAGATTGTATGCCAGAAAAGAACTTCTAAACTATAGGCAGTATAACATGTCTTGCTTAAGTGCATCAGTTTTAGTTGAATGAAATATAATATAATGAAAGATTATTGTTTACTCAGCATTGATGTATCTAGCATATACAATTAATCGTTGCACCCAGGTCTAACACCATCAAAGTTCCCATTTATATTACTGTAAACATCAATATGCATCACTAACTTTGTTTCTTCCACTGAGCATCTTTCTCGCCTCATGGGGTTCCATGGATCATGGCTCTATATGGACTCTGGTCTCTGCCTCCTGCCATGGCCTTTTGACAACTGCTGCTGCTATCATCATTATTATTAATATTTTAATAAGATTTATTACACTACCAATACGTTCAACATAAACCAACATTACCCTTTCCTAAAGTCTTTGTGTTTTCCCTTCCCTGATCTGATGTTTGCCGTCCCTGCAGTGGTCCTGCCGTACACCTAGCTTACTACTCGCGCTTATTTGAATAATTTCTGACATAGGAATTGAATTTATTGTACATCTTTTACATTGTTCATTCTGCACCCATGACATCCATTGTAGTCTGTCGATTCTGAGAGAGGGATCCCTCCTCTGACGGTCTCCCCAAGGTAGGGTTTTCATTTTTTTGAGAGTTTTTCCTGTCCCAATGTGAGGGTTTCGGGACAGAAGATGTCGCATGTCTACTGACTGTAAAGCCCTCTGAGGCAAATATTTGATATGTGATTTTGTGCTGTACAAAATAAAATGAATTGAATTGTAATTAAAAAAAAATCAACTTTTCTGATCCATTTAATTAAGAGTCTTTCTAATTTCTGTCTGAGTAAACATTTATGCTATTGAATTACAACTTTTTCAGGACTGTTATAGCTCTATTTTGAAAGTTGGGTTTGCAGCCCTCACACAGTGAAGAGATACACACATTCATACACACACACACACACACACACACACACACACACACACACACACACACACACACACACACACACACACAGACAGGCATGAAAATCCCTCACCTTTCGGCGAAATTCGCCGTTTTGAAACCAAAATAGGTGACCTACGTGAATGGTGTAGATTCGATGAGTTTTTTTGGGGGGGAGGTATTCATATTCAGTGAACTGCGAACAGGTGCGCGTGTCAGAAGGGAGCGCGAGATTCAGTGAATTGCGAACAGGGTGAGTGATGGTTTAAATATTTTCTGGTATATCTAAGTTAAGTTACCCCGGAGCTTTGTTGACATAGACTTAGCTAACGTTAGCTACAACTTGATGAATTGAGTCATTTAACACAGCAGGAGAGAACGCGACGTTGGCCAGCTAGCTAAAGCGGTGGAAAATGATTAGCTAACGCTACCGCTACCCCCCGTCAACGAATGGCTCGAAGAAAGATTCATTCATTTTACAGAACGAGATTCAAAGAACTGAGTCGGTAAAATGTTCGGTAATATCTTACCACCCCCCCGTCAACGAATGGCTCGAAGAAATCTTTGGGACAAAACCAGTTGAAAACCCCTGCCCTAGAGGGGTAATACCTTCTCACCTTTTTCACCCTTGACCCGTTTTTTTTTTACTTGTGTCTCCATGGCAATTTTGGGACATTATGTTCACATAAATAGAGTTACCGTAACTCTAAACATGACTGCTGCAGTTTTGTTCTAATTAGATTAATATCTCATTGAACAGACAGTCTTTGTTTCAGTTGATTCCAAATAGCAGCCAAACCTCAAATAAAAGCTTCTTTATTTCTTCATGAGATTGATGCATAGACATGTAAATGTATTGGTTTATTGACTGTATAACTCAAGCAGTATAAGCACTTTCATGTTGACGAGAGTTTCATTATTTTTGTTTATAGCTGCTTGGTTTCTATTGGTCATGCTCACATTTTAAGATACATTTTCAACTGATGTTGTTTTTTAAACAACACTGTCCTAAGGATTTTCCTTCAGCTCCTGCTAAGATGTTAGCATTTTCATAATATTTTATATTTAATGATTTAACTAATTATTTTAGATAAAAGTCAGAGCACATTTTGGTCCTTTAAAGATGAACAAATTTGCTCATGTGGATAAGCATGTTTATTATTTAAGTTATAAGTTATATTATTTTCTACATATATATTCAGTTCAGATATATATTTCCCAGTGAATCTTTTTGCCTACTTGTTATAAAACTCATACTGATGATTACAATTAATAAGTAAAGATAATTAGATGTCTGCGGCTACATCCTCCTGCGTCCTCTGTGCAGCCTTCATCAATCTTAAAACATTGCAAGGAAAATTAAATTCTAAATGTATTATAATAAGCTATCTAAATACCAGCGAACATTTACTTCATAGTTTCCAAAGTAAGTGAATGAAATTACCTCCTCCTCCTGAAAGTCGGAAATACATTTTTATTTATTTTTTCACGGCAGTTTTGCCCCAACACATGCACGAATACGTTTGTGTATGTGTGCACGTGGCGCTCGCATCATGGTACCCACTGGAGGTACGATGTGATCGGACAAAGTCTTGCTTGGAAAGGGTTCCTAATCAATTTAACATTGCACTCGACAATATTGTTGGACTCAAAATGGACAAAATAAGTAACAACAACAATTTAGCCAACACGGACACAAGTGATATCATTATCATCAGACTGCGAGGGACAGTGGAGATGACTGAGCTTCAAATTCTTCAAATGTTTCTTCACTATCAACAGGCTACACGTTCAGAAGAAGTCAAATGTCGTGTGCTGGTGTGTCTGAGCAACCTAAGCGTCATGTGCCTGGTACTGATAAGAAGAACTGAACCTGGAAGTGCCAAACTGGTCATTTCCCCAAAATGCCCAACTTTACAGTTGAAATAAACTTGTTCACAGCCTGATACAAAATTCAGTTTTAATCTCTATATATCTCTCCCTTCGTGACAACTGTACATGGGAAGGATTTGTGGACATGTAGACATAATTGAGGGCCTAGGTGCTTATAGTGACTGGTGGGTACCGTAATGAGTTGCTGGCTGCTATCTTTCTGCTGCCTTTAGTTACAAACCCAAACAAGTCCAAACCCAAACCTGCACCCTCGATCCCACCGAGGAGCAACGGGTTTTCCTAGTTGTCTCAGTTAAACTGAAAGTCAGTTTCTATGAAAAAAAGGTTAAAAAAACCTAAAACATCCTGTTAATTTTGTATTGCTGTTTTCTTAAATGGTTGTTGTCTGTCTTCACAACCTGCACACCTTGTCCTTGGTCTCAGTCTAATTGGGGAATTGATTGAAAAAACTTAACAGGTGGCGCATAGAGTAGACAGGGTGCGCCAGTAACCGCAGGGCTGGCCGTTGGAAACCTTGGCTGGAACACATCACGTGTTGAAGGTGTCCCTGAGCAAGACACCTAACCTCTAACTACTCCCCGGGAGCCTTTATGTCAGACATTGCTCCCACTGTGTGGGCTGGGTTAAGTGCAGAGAATGATTTACCCACAGGGATTAATTAAGGATACTGTCTTCTTTTAACAATCAAATCACCACAGTCTAATGCGTGTGCTTAAAAATCCAAACTCAGTTTAATGACTTTGTATATATATATATATATATATATATATATATACACACACACACACACACACACACACACACACATTATATATATATATATATATATATATATATATACATACATACATACATACATACATATTTATATATTATTCCTACAAATACATAGTCTCAGCACAGAAAAACGTCCACTTTCCTTAGTAAACCAAGAAAGCTAGAAATATCCTACATTAAAAAAAAAGGACAAAGACGAACCATTTTGACAAAAGAAAAATCACAGAAAATGCATGAATAAAACATTCAAATGAAATAAAAAACAACAACATCCTGTACAAACACAATGGCCCAATAATTTAAGAAAATAGTGTCTCTAAAACGTTCATATTGCTTTGTACCTCCACTGACCGGGCAAAGCCGTTCCTGTTTAACACCGGGTAGATCGGAGGGCGCCAAATCACAGGGGCTGATGTCACTCCAGAGGTTATGGGGTCAAGCTGCAGCCAGTGGCATGCAGACGTAGCAGAAGAGAATCAGTCCTGTTTGTGTTTTTTTGTTTCCTGTGTTCTCTTCTTCTCTGATTATTTTGGCAGTAACAATACAAAGACAAGAAATGGTCACACTACTACAGTACTGCACTCCTTATCAAACCAAGGATGTTTTTACTGTTTGTTGTAGTTTTACCTTTATTACTCTCTACAGCATTATTACTAGAACTATCACCATCACAGATACACAGTGTGCATCGTGTGTTTGTGTGTGAGAATGGTTCGCCCAGCTGTGTGCGTGTTTGTGTGTCTCTGTGTATTGCCGTATCAGTGTTCAGTGCTCAGGGCTTGTCTTCTTTCGGAAGAGTCAGTAGCTTGGGGTTGGCGTTGGGGTTTGGCGAGCTTCCGTCTTGTCCCGAACCCTCACCAACTCCCATATCAAAGGAGTCCTTGGAGTCACTGGAAGGCGCTCTCCTCCTCAGGCAGGTGTCCCTGTTGGGCAGAGGAGGGGGCATTCCTAAACCTCCCATCCCCATGCCCGTGTAGAGGCCCTCCTGTCCGTCAGGGGGGTCCACAGAGATGCAGGGCGGACTCATCTTTTTCTTATGTCGGGGGGAGGGCAGCAAGGTCGGAGTGGGGTTCTGGCTGTGGATCTGCAGACTATTGGCACGCGACACGAAGCTAGCGGAGGTGGACTTGGTTGTGCGATGGGGGCTGGAGTCGGCCGAGGAGCCCGCCTCAACAGAGTTACATTGTGGGTCGTCCAACCAGGAGTAAGGGCGGGGGCGAGGCGGCGGGGCGCTTGGGCCGTGCTCCTCAGCGCTGTGGAACCTCTTCAGCGGCCTCAGGCTTGGACTCCGGCTCTCCTGGCAGCCCGCATAGCTGCTGTAGGCCTCAGTGACCCCGTCGCCTCTGGCCTCCGTTGTGAGGTCATCGCTGACGGCCAACGCTGTATTGGTAATGAGGGACACTTCCTGATCCACCGAGGCCTCCTCCTGTTGGCGTGGCCTGGCTGGTAAGAGCGGAGGAGGCGAGGGGAAGGTAGGGAGATGGGAGGCGAGGCAGTGCTGGTCATGAAGCTGGGTGTGCACGCTGCTGGGACGTGAGGGTTTGGGGAAGGCGCCGGGTTTGGCGGGAACCCGGCACAGAGCAGGCTGCTGATAATGATGGGAGCATGGGGAGGGAGAGGTGCAGGGGGATGGAGGGAGGCCCAGAGAGGCCACATTCACAAGTCCTTCATTGCTCTCCCTTCCGTCTGAGCACAGGGCCTCCTGAGAATCAGTAGACACTGCGACCTACAAAACGAGGCATGTGGAGGCAGAGAGAAGGGTGAGGAGTTGGAGGTAAATGTGCGGTGAAGAAATGAAGAAGGAGAAGGGGGAATTGCGAGGGTACAGGGATCATGGGAGGTGAGAGGGGTGAGAGGTGATGAGGAGGAGAAGCAGTAGTTTGGGTCAAAGGTCACCATCTGGCACCATATTTCCAGAGTCTTACTATGTACTTCTCAATGGCAACTTCGGCATTGTTTTATCAATTGGCCTTGAAATAATTCTGTTGCCAGTATATTGTTTTCTCAAATCTGCTTTAGTATCATTTTGAATGACTCCTCCATACGTTTCTCTGTGCTCACCTTAGGTGTCTGTTCGACATATAACATGTCCCGTCAGGGACTCATTTATTTTAAAAACTTTTAACAAAAGACAACCAAATCCTCCTGTTCATGTTCATGTCAGAAACAATAATTATTCCGAGGGGAGTAATATTTTTGATAACCTTTAATCAGGCTGGTGGTGCTCTTTGAAGGTTCACAATGACTTTAAAATGACAACTTTAACTTAAACCCCTCAGAACACTCTCAACGTCATGAATAATAATAATTTCTTCCCTCCATTTTTGGTGTGTAAAGGATTATGAATGGGATCAGAAATGAAATTGAACTAATTAATTACTAACTAAGTTTGGTTTAAATGTAGTATGTCACAGGGGGTCGGTAGTAGGTAACAACTGACTATTTCCATGTCAGAAGCTCCGTTTATTTTTATCATCAGTAAAGTTTTGACTCCCTTTTTAGTTGTTGCGGTTGACAAATCAGATTAAGTGGTGGCTAACACAGTGAACTCAGAACCAGACCACCTAACCCCTTAACTTTTGACCATTTGCTCAACACCCTGTAACTCGATGGCGGCACAGTTATCCAGTTAAATTTACAACCAAATTCTGATCAGTGTTTGCGCGCTGTCATCTCTGAACCAAACTGTCCACAGGGTGTGAGGCCGTTAGCCAGAGGGTAACCATAACATGCAACTACTGTAGAAGCTTTAGTAAGCACCATGGTCACTTAAACTGATAAAAAATGTTCCTTACAAACTAGAATATGTAAGAAGGACCAAGCGAGGCATGCATGAGGTTAAGGGGCACAGCACTTTGAGAAATGTTTGAACTCAATGGTGTCCCTGCCTCAGTCTGAGCGGTGGGGCCACAGAGACACCTTGTGGTCAAAGATATCACAGGCCAGAGCAATCAACAGCCACAGCGGTATAAAACACAGAGTAACAAATCACTGTGTCACACTTTTTTAAGCAATATCGGGTTAAGTCCATTAACTACTGTACTGGAGTCAACCATTATAGAAAGTCCACAAGTGCTTTATTACTCACAAAGGCATTTGGACAGCACTGGTTGTCTGTTCTGTAGCAATCCCCTGAGTTGTTTAGTTTGCAATGTAGCAAGTGCACTGCATTGTGGGTTATTGTCCAAGCCAAATGGCATCTTTGTCAGGCTTGAATGCATTCTATCAATTAGCTACCGGATCCACTGACGCAATGCTACACGTAGCTCCTGCTGCTCATATAAGAGTAGAGAAACATTCATAAATCCGAAGTCCCAGTAAGTTGTCGTACCGGCAGAGCAATCAGAGATTTAGATGCTTTGTGCCTGATGGTTAGCAGGAGACACAGAGCAAAAGAGTGACAGAGGGGAGAAAAGGGGAGGGAAGCCTGTAAGTTAAAAGGGTTAGAAGACAAACACAGAGTCCATTGTTTCTGAAAGGCCCAATGGTGGCTGAACTATGTGGTTTGTTGCTGTTTCAGAAGCAGGAGTATCTGTGATTGAGCAGCAGCTCAGGGTCTGGCAGCTTTTGGGCCCAACTGAGTTGAGATCAGAAAGTAGCAGATACCCTCAGGACAAGGAGGCGGCATATAATCAATAACATATAGAAGGAAGAAGGGCAGACAAAAGGGTGGGAAGAAAAGTTACACTGTTGAACATGCAACAAGGAAAGAGATTTAGGAAGGCTCTGAACCAATTTATCTCTGCAACAGGGTGTCACTGCGGATCCCCAGAAAGGCGAGTGAGGAAAAATTAGTTAAATTTTTTAAGACTGATCTGATGTGTTTTGTCTCTTGTATTTAAAATGTAATTGCTAGAATAATCTTTTTTAGTTACGTATTTCATTTTCATCTGGGGTACGGGTTTTAAAAGAGGGTTTTTGCTTGTGTTAATCACCTGTCAGTGTTTATTGTTGTAACACTAATTCCGGCGACATGTGGATGAATCGCACAACCAATCCAACCTGCTTGTTTTGGTTCATTAATAATTATTAAAATGAATACCCATCTAAATTAAACACATGTGAGTAATGTAAAATAGCTGGTTAACACACAATTTATGTATCTTATGCATCAAGTGCATGAGAAACTACAACTCATTCTTGAGTCCTATTTAGAACATGAAGCAGTGGTGCACTCCAGCCTCTTGTGGCCACATTGAGTATTACATTAACATCGATCCTCACAAAAAACAAATCAACTGCTAATTTCTTTTTTAACTATTTAGTTGAGATCTTTGTTTCTGACTCGCCTCTCCGGGCTACAGCAGCACCGCAATTGTTGGGAAAATCCAAGATTTAAATAGTTTTTGCCAGAAGTTTCATCCCATACAGTACAGACATAGACAGGTGAGAAGATCATAGAAAGGTATTTGGAAGAAAATTGAAAATATGACACAGTGTGATTTAGTCACCTGTCTGTGGAGCGTTCGGCTAAACGTGTGCGCCCGTCTGGGAGGGGGAAGTCGTGGTATGCTCTCCGAGTCGGAGTGGCCGATGGGGCTGATGGTCCTGAAGAGGTCTGCAGGGACGTTCAGCTGCTGGGAACGCTCCTCTGGCTGGGAACGCACTGAGCTGCTGGAACCTGCACAGAATATGAGATGACAACAGAGCAGCTAGAGCTGGTGTGTCGTGAAGAAACGGCTTCTTCTTTGGTTTATGTCGCCTTGCATCGAGGTAAAAATGCAAAATGTAAAAGTGTTACAAAGCCTCTCATGTCTGTGCTCATACTTATTCATTCCAAAAGAGAAAATAGGTGTTGTGTTCTGTCGCAGGTGTAAGTTTACATTTGTTGTGAGTTTCATTTGAAGTGAAAGAAATACCGTGTAAATGAGTACCTGATTGGCCCCTGTGGGTTCCTAGTATGCGCTGAGGCTCCTGTGTCTGTGCTGGAGTCGGGGCTGCGTTGCCAACTGGCTGCAGGGGAAGGAACATGTAGCTATCGTTGGGCAGGGAGTGTGTACGTCCCACCACAGGCTTCCTGACACTCAGCAGGTTTTCCTCCAGTGGCTCCACAGGATCGAGCTGCTCCGGCTGGGGAAAGAGACAAGGGAGTCAGGATCCCTCCGGAGCCGGATGAATCGGGCCTTCTCTCCAACTCAGAGGACTTTCACTTTCTGTTAAACACGTTCACGGGTGACACCATGTGAGCAAGGAGCAACAAACAGGATCTTTACGCGTTGCACCCGACCGGCCCACAGCGGCTACAGATCACACAAACGACACCGTAAACGACTCAAATTAATTTTTTCTTTGGATTTTTAGGCCCAAGACAGTGACTGTAACAGACCCCCCAGCCATGTCACGTGAAGTAAGCCCGCTCCGTGACAGTGTGTCAGCTGGAGCAGTCTGAGCCAAAACACCACCGGTTGACATTCATCAACAGAGCTGCTGGAGCTTTACACCCTAGTGGCACACAAGGCAGGAGTAGAAACTAGCACAAAGCCAAAGGACGGAAGAAGAGGGCAAACACAGAAGAAGACTGATAGGAGAAGACCATGAGACTCACATGTAAAGCAAATAGTGAGAGACGCCAGAAGGAAAATTAAGCGATAAGAGAGTCATAGGAGAGAAAACGGCAAACTTGCAGGTGAGCAGGCGAACTACTCTACTAGACTGGAGAGTAACACACATCGGGCTGGAAAGGTGGAACGACAAAAGGAAGAGAAAGTTGGAGGCCACATGGTTTTATGGACCAGGGTCTTTCAACGCCTCTTGCCACTTTACTTCTTTACTATCCTACTTATTTTTGGGTGGGGTTTTGCCAAGGTGACAATGGCCCTCTCTTATGAAGGCATGTGACTACATGGGAGTGATGCCGTCATTAATGTGCCACACTGGTTTTTGACACCCAGTTGACATTCAATTAATTTGCAATTTAGTGGGAAAGACATTACATCCATTTCCAGAACCCACTGGGGCAGGATATCATGGAGGAATTTATAGACTAATCACAGGAAGGATGATTTATAAGTCTGAATGCGTGACAAAGTGTCCTGGCAGGAGACAAATAATGAATTTAATGTTAACAAACAACTCTATGGAGTCAAAGAGCATATCTCGAAATGCGCTAACATAACCACCTAACACAGCTGACTCATTTATTTTCCCATGCTGCATAATAGCGTGAGCCCTTAAGAACCGAAAAGGATTTCAACTCACGTAAGCCAATAAGACACTAATTTAGGAAGTACACACACATCCACGTATGAGGTCATTTGCTGCCGCTCAAAACATGGACCTGCAATCATGTTATTTGGAACTTATGGTTGAGAAAAGACAATGTTAGGAGCTCATCTCAATTAAATATTCACCATTGGACACTTTATTCTCATATGTTCAATCCGATACTGTATGTTCTTACAATGGCTTTAAGACTCCCAATGTTTTGACAGTAATACAATTGTAGTAATTAAGTGTGTCATGTGAACACCACTCAACTGTCCTAATAGGTTATCACAAATGACACAGTTGTTCCAACATTGTCTTTGGGATTTGAAATTACATGAATAAATTATAGGAAACTATTGGAAAAGCCTTAACTTTATTTTGTAGCCGTGGTATAAATCTTTTGGCCTATTTATTGTTGCTGAAAATTGCTGCCTGTTGCAGCAACAATGAGAGCCCTGAGAGTTAATTAGTAGCTTTCTGGGTCAGAAATACCAAACCAACCAGTTGAAAAACGTGATAAAGCTGAGCAGGAACAGGGTTCATTAGTATAGCGCAACACTTTTCCCATGCAACTCATTTGATTCATTATTAATAGAAAAAAAGCTCATTACAGCACTTACGATAAGTCTAATTGTGCTGGGACCACCGGTGCACGTTTGCTGTTTAGCTAATTGAGCGTCCACTTGGTTTCCTCCTGTCAACGTAAACCCGTCTCACCCAAATGTGTGAGAGGAGTGGGAGTGCATGTGGCTTTGGAAGTTCCCCAAGAAAGAAAACACTACAAAATACTGCAGAGCGAAAAGAGGAGGAAGAGGGATGGAGAAAAGAGAAAGAGATGATCTTTCAGTACGTTGCATTCCGGACTGGTTAGAAAGAGGGGGTTAAAATCGCCAGGGGCCGAGTTGTCTGCCAGAGCTGGGGACCAGGATTTCTCAGAAGTATTTCACCAAGCGTCTCAACAAGTAAGAAGGTGAATGCTATGCATGTGTAGGCTGGAAACTGGATGGAAGACCTTTAGACATTTTTAAAACCGTTGATGATGTGGATCAGAATCCGTTCTTTTTCTGAGAAAATACATAATATTGAGGGTCTTTTTTTCTACTACAGGAAAAAAGCTCTTTTGCTTTTGCTTCCAGGAAGAAAATAGCTCAAGAAATGTTTTCTATCAGCAATTGATTACGGTGATATTTGATGTGTGCATGCAAATTCATCTCTTTTGAAAATGTTCAGTATACCATGCGGCATTACAATGTGCCATGTGAAAGACTTAGTTACACCTCCTTATACATCCAAATATTGGAAAAATCATGTGGACAAATTTCGGTGCATCATACCCAGAACTCACAGCGTCATCTGTTTTAAATGAAGTTTAGGAAAATCCTTATTGAGACCAGGGGAAATTATCTCACTGCTATTGGCAGAATCTACCACTCGATTAATGAAAAATTAACATTGCATGACTCTACCAGACTAAATCACTTAAAGATATAAAGTTAATAATCCCTGGCCTACAAAGTGAGGAAAAAGTTCAGATATTTTGTGCACAAGGTCTGTGGAACTTCAGTGAAAAATAAATCATGGAAAGTTCTGCATCTATTTTGCGGTCCTGCATCCATTCCCTATTATGCATTGGCATTCCTTCACATTGAATATTTGTTTGCCTTTCTAACCAGACGAGTAGCCCACCACAGTGCGGCCCAGCTATGATCTCATTCCCCCTGCTCCTGTCCTCGCTCACGTTACATTCATTCATGCTTGGGAGATTTTCAGGTCTGGTTCAGAAGGCTTAGTTACGCAGACTCTGCTCTATCTCGACACAGCTCGCCGTCTGCTTGGACATCATGCGCGGCGTGTTTGAGCGTGCGAATCCCTACTTTGCAAAACAGTCCCCACAAAGCCGTGAACCACAATTCCTGATGAGAGTAGATCACATCCTTCCACTGCACAAATCTGCACAGCAGTGGCTCGATAAGCCGTGGATCACTGCGTCACGGAATTATGCACCTGGGGGCCTCTTTTCCTCATCTGAAGGCAAATTACAGCATCAGCATTGCAAAAACCCGTCTTCTAAAAGCTTTTAATGGGTCTGAGATGTCATTATTAGAGGCCACCTCTCCCCTTTCGGGTACATGCCCCTCTCTCCTCAGAGGGCCCATTTGCCTGTAAGAGAGCGTTTCTTCAGCTACAAATCCAAAAATGCAGCAGCTCCCCTTACAAAAGCCTGACATGCCTCATGGCTTCAGAACAAGGCAAGAGCGACGCCAAGCGCTGCAGGATTCAGCCATGAGAATTTGTTCCAAACTAGGATAGCTACTTAGAGGTGTCACCAAGTCTCTGTTCGGTACGTACAACGCAAATTATTCTCCCCTTCTGCTAGTTTGCTGCGGTGAGAGAGTGTGTTTGTCTCATTGCCTTTTTATGGAAAATTCACACAAAAGAGAAGACTGACTTAAAACAAACAAGTCAAATGCAACAATTTACCCACATAAACATATAGCTATGATGATGAGCAGCATCATCAAAATAAAATAAAATGAATTATCTAGTTAAAAAGGCCCCTTAGATCAGTTTAACCACTTAAACATAGAACAGGGTCTCCAAACTATTTTTGATTGTGACTCCTTGAACAATTTTTTTACTTGTGATTCCAGATTGTTTCTCCGGGAGTTTGGATTATTTCATCATGACTTAATTTGCTTGTTAGGGTTAGGGTTAATTTATATATGATTTGATATAAAATTGAAAATGTATTTTCAAAGACAAAAGTAAAATAAATAAAGTAAAATGAAATACATTTTAACATATTACCACACCTGAACTTAAAAAAATAAAATAAATACACCTAAATGATCATTTTTGATAACAAAATCTCAAATTGTTTAACTACCACAAATATAATTTTTCAGCTACAACTGAAAAAAAAGACAATTTCTTCTTCTGTGGATTATTCTTTATTATTCTTAGTGGCTAAGGCATTGCTTCGAAAAGGACATGCCGTTATTCAATTAGTAACAATTTATTAACTGCATTATTAAACACTGTTAGCAAAAGAAACAGCCCAAAACTACAGTTCCATTGTCCTTGTCCAGTGTCCTAATAATGCAAAATTACAGCGGAAACGTCAACTTTTGTTATTGTCTAAAAACTAAATAAGATCCACTGGCCGTATGAAATGTGGGAAGTGAGTCATCATTGAGCTGATTATCGACCTTCTTGTCGCTGCTGTGCCTGGTGTGTCGGGGTTTACCGGGCAGCGCGTTGAAGTGGACAGACAGGTTGTCCATCAAGCTCAACGCTGCCTCCATTGAACTCTGGCTGACCAAGGAGACAAACTGTGCTCTCCGCTGGACAAACTTAGATAATGCAGAAGGAAAAGACAAAGCGGAGAAACGAACAGAGAAAGAAAAGAAAAGAGATGGAAGGGATGGAAGAAGTTGTAGAAAAGTAAAAAGACAAGACAGAGACACAGGAATAAATGTGGACAGAAAGAGAGAATCAACACATAAAAAACACACCGCGAGAACTGGAGCATGTGTTACACTTTGTCGTAGTGTATTGAGACCGGAAGTTTGGTTCTAAATAATCCAAGGCCTTCATCCAGCAACTGAATATAGAACCTCCTCTCAACCATCCATCCACCACAGGCTCGCGCTTGTTACCATTTAACCCCACAAGGGGGCACTACAGGGCCGCAGTAGAGCTGGCGTCCCACGGGACCGGAGGGGAGATTGCGGCTTAACCACACATGTTTTTGGAGGAAAGAGGATAACATCTTACAAGGGAAACATAACGACAGCGAGACCTCTACTTCCTACACCCCCCTCACCCTCCGAAAAAAAGTTCCCCGCTGTCTGGAAATAGCTGAACAACAAGGCTCTGTGGTCCAGCTTTCCCATGGCACTGTGACCTGTCTTTGACTGGCATGTCCTCTACAGGGACCAGCCACACACACACACACACAGTCAGGCTCAACAAACTGTAAACTGTGCTTATTTGGGTCACTTTGGGTTACACAGAATAACACATTTGCATATCTAGTGTACTTTACACTTCTATTACGACTGATTTTGGATGCATCCCTCGTGAATATGTCCTATTATGGCCAACAAGGCTCAAGTTTGTTTACATATGGTCCATGGTTTTAGACAGCAAAGAGACATTCTTCCCAAGCAATCTATTATCTCAGATACCATCCAGCATGCTCAGTGTCCCTCAGCATGGGCCAGAGAGTAGACTAATGGTTTGGACCAGAGTCAGAACTAATGACCGGAGACTTGGGGGTCATCCGACTGGCCTCACAGCTTGGCCCCCAGCAGGAAGTGACCTCAGCGCCTCCTTCATGTCATGCAGTACACGATGAGTGCACCTCTGAGACTCAATCTGACCGAGACAACATCTTGTCTCACTTTCACTTGTGTGCAATTGTGCGGATCTTGTCAGCGCATTAGGTCATAGACGGATAAGGCGCGTGGCCATGAGGGCCCGTTCACAGGGGTAATGCGAGTAGGGAAATGATGAAGTTTGTTCAGTGCATACATGAAGACTCCTCACCTCCAGCGGGGGCTCCAGGCTCGAAGGGGGGTCTGCTCTGATGTTTACAGAGTCTCTAGTTATATCAGCAGGCGGGCCTATAGGACACTCTCTTTCCTGGTCCCTGTCCCCTCCGCCAGTGGACCTCAAGGGTGAACTCCCTGAGCTCAAATTGTCCATGCCCCTTGTCAGAGGGTTGATCTGGGGCGACCTCGTCGCCGTGTCTCCCCCTTGCACCTGGCGCTCCAGCTCCAGCTCTGCCTCCGCCAGCTCCGCCTCCTCCTTGGCCTCCTTGTTGCTCTCCTCCAGGTGCTTCATCAGGACAGCAATGACGACATTGACCAGGACAAACTGAGCGGTCAAAACGAAGGAGACAAAGTAGAGGGGGGAGACCACGGTGTTGTAGCAAGTGCTGTTTTGGCCGCAGTTCCTTAATGTGTCCTGGAAGAAACAAGTGACCGTCAGCTACAGCTTGGCCAGCGAGCTGAAGGCTACTCACACAACCACAACAATGCTTTGGGAAGATTGTGGATTGACGTTGTGATTGTGTTGGAAGAATTGGTATGAAATGTATAATACGCGCATTTACCAGAAGGAATTGTAATCACTGATCACTGTATCTTGGTCTAGTGCCCCCATTAGGCCTATGCCATTCCCATCAGTCTCAGATTAGTTAACCATTAGCATGTGTTAAGAGTGTCTGTATCCACACTTCTATAACTCCCGCTGCAGTTTGGTGGAAGTATGTTGAGTCAGACGCATTGCATTTCCATCCATCACAACGGCCGCCACGCTCTTTCTTTCTGCATCATTGCAGAAAGTTCACATCACAGCAACAAAATGATGTTCTGTGAGACTACTTTCTGAATGTTTCTAGGGATTTTACCAGAAAAGGAACACATAGACCACAGACCAACATATAACAGTGTTTGAAATTATAAGGTAACTTCTTTCATTATCTTAAACCAGAAAATTCGACAAATATAGTGCGATTATAATATTATAACGATGCCTCACAACAACCAACTGGGAAACCAACTGGTATTTGGCCCTTGGTGGAAAATAATCAGCTTTTGCATGGTGCATAGTGGTGAAAACCTGCACTGAACTGTAGTCATCTGTCAGCACATGACACACTAAATCAGACTACACCTTATTTTTTTACACTGAGTATGTAGTAGGTGTTATCGTTGTGCAGTAGGTGTATGTATATTTTCAGGTTCCCAGACTTCAGTAGTAGTTTCACCTTCATTATTCCATTCCAGTTGTCTCCAGTGGAAACTCTGAAGAGCAGTAGAAATGCCATTCCAAAGTTTTTGAACGTTGCATATCGCCCCAGACCTTCACATGGATGTAATTCATCACAGACTACAGAGAGGAGCAGCAGGAGGGGGAGGAGGAAGGAGATAGCCGGACAGCAAAACAGGGAAATGGAGAGATAGAGAGTTGTAACAACATAAGGGCTTTGCAATTAAATCTTAATAGCCGTATGAGCATTTTATTAGCCTGAAAGCTATAAGCTAAAAAGAGAATGTGAAAATGTGATAAAGAGAAATCAATATGACATTTCAACACAGGGTTTTGAAAAGTAATTAACGTCCGATAGATTAAACCCACAGGGGGGAGAGCTAGAATACTCTTAGCGGGCCTGAGTGGTGTGTCTGTGTGTGACTTATTTGATACACGTTGCATGTGTTCCTTACTCAAGTCACCAAACAGCTCCACTCCCAGCGCTGCAAAAATAAAGAAGAGAAGCATGAAGAGAAGACCCAGATTCCCCACCTGCAGAGAGACAACAGGAAGCGAGAGGGATTAATCAGAGGAGAGAAACCTCTGGGAAAAAATAAACCAATAACGAGGGACAACAAACAAAACATTCCAGTGAGAAAACAAATGGAAGGTCGGGACGAAGCGGCTGAGAGAAAATGTAAGCGTTTGCAAATGACCCTTCGCTAACAAAGACCGTCCAATTATAGCTTAGCAACTGTGACTAGGCACGGACGGCCTGTTAATCCATGGATTCCTCCACACATTGATACGGAGAATCAGAGGGATGCTCCCCATTTAAAGAGTCTCTATGATGATCTGTATCTTTTTCTCCCCCTATGCAAAAACAGCACATTCCATTTGAGTTGCTAACTATCCTGTGTAGCATTAACTCTAATTGAGTGCTCATACTTCTCTAACGTCAAGAAAACTGTATTGACGGGTGATTTAAGGAAGAGGATTTCATGGAGTATCATCAGTAAAGTACGAGATGTTAGTGGGTGATTACCACATAACTGACTCAGGGAAACATACATTGATGAGACGTTCCTAAAACTTGTCTCAGTTGTTTACACTGCAATATAAGAGCAGTGCTGTTTATTTATTTCCAGGTTGTCTTCATGCACCATCAAGGCAAACTCAATGGAGTAGAAAATTGATAATCAAAATAAGAATTTGAGGGACCCTGGTGGTGCAGCTGATGCTGGACAAGAGTCAAAAATGAAACAGGTATTCCCTGCAAGGACACAGAGGTGAATTTAGGTCACGAAAAGCTTTAAGATGTGTGGCTTTCAATGCTAATCAGCATGTGGCAACCTGCTCCCACTATTATGGGATGTATTAATCATGAAGTCTCCCACTGATAGACTAAGATTAGTAGTACTTGTAATATTAAAGAACTCTGGGAACTTTAGACGAAGCACTATTTGTCTCTCTCAACAACGCTGCATAAATTGTTCTAATTTGCTCTCCCCTCCAACCCTGAATTCCCCCCAACTGCTGTTCAAAATATAACCTGAAGCTACACCCACTTCCCGAACCTGGCAGGGGTTTATTATGCAAATAAGGGTCTCTGAAGTCTGCCAAAAAAGCTCAAGAGAAACGAGGACGCCCCGGAAGAATACATACTGAAAAAGAAAGTCTTTTGGGATGTAATTTTAGGGCCAGCTTCGGTGGGACGTGTTATGAAAGTTTCATCCAGAAAAACAAAGATTAGGGAGGGAAACAGAATTCTGTGGCCTCGGTGGATGTTATTTCACAGAGTGGATTGTGTACCTGAGGCAGGGCTTGCATAACGGTGTCCAGCAAAGCTCTCATCCCAACTGCCATCTTCAAGAGCTTCAAAACTGCGGACACGCACATATAAACAGAAAGTTCAAAATAGTCAAACCAATATTAACATTGTTGAACAAGGACTTGTGCCATCACGCCTTCTTTGAAATTGAATGGACTCAATACCTTCCTTACTTACTGACTAATTATTCTCTGTTAGTTGAGTCACATGTCCTTTAATTCCTGTTAATTTAGGTTTTTTTTGGCCTGGGCCAATTTTAAAAAAGTAGTTCCCTAGCAACCCCACAGTGATGACTAAACTCCAGTGGCTCACTGGCCTTGACCAAGAAAGGACCAGGATTTTTTACTTAAACAAATAAAAACTAAGACAGGATTTTGTCTGCAGAAGTTTCTGGTAAGAGACAGGCTATAGCTGTTTGCCTCCATCTGTGTGCTAAGATAAGCTAACTGGCTGTTAGCAAGAGTGGCAGTTATTGTCTCGAAAATACCAAACTTTTCTTATTTGGTACATGCAGAGCTGAATTATAATATCAACGTGAAAATTTGTTACAGCAGCTGTAACTTGCACATCAATGTTGGTGAGGAGAGTTCATATATGATTACAATAGAGACGGTGTTTAAATGATATATTCTGAACATGAGAGAGAGAAAAGGAGCTGACTACTGTAGCCAGCCCAAACCACAGCACACACACACACACACACACACACACACACACACACACACACACACACACACACACACACACACACACACACACACACACACTAGAGCATGGGTGTGTGGCCTGTGGCACAGTAATTGTTACTAACTTCCATGCTTCTTCTTCTTTTACACATCCAGTAATCAGACCAAAGAAGTGAGCTCTCCTCCTGTCTGTCTTATCTCCTCCCCTGTAACCTTCTGTATCTTTAATTACCTGGACAGTAATCAGCCCGACGCACGCGGGCAGTTCTCTGCTCCACCGCCTGCCCCCCATATGTTCCAGATAAACTCCACTCTCTACTCTCTACGTTACCCGTCAACATAACTTTCCTTCCTCATTGATACTTTTTCAACTCCAGCATCATTTTCTCCTCTTTCGATCTTCTTACAATCTATTTCCAGAACAGAAGTCATGAAGCATCTGTGCCCACTCCCCCATTTGTTTCTCCTCTCTTCCCTGTGTCCTCTCCTTCACACCCTCCGTACCTAGTCTCTGTTTCACAGAGTTGAATTCGATTTCTGCTGTAATGTGTTTCGACTCTCCCCTCTCCTGCTCTATATTTCTTCTTCCCTTCCATTTTTTCGTCTTTGAGTTGACGTTTTACACTCAGCTCCTTTTCAGTGCTGCGTTCGCCAGCTTACTGTGTTTCTCTGTGCCATCTGGTTGCCCGAAACCCTGCTGGCACCTGCCATGCAAAAATGATTTAGGCTGTTTAACGGTACAGAGAAAGAGAGTGTGCACATGTGACTGATAGGAGAGAGTGTCAGGTAGGTGTTTGGATGGATGGACGGACGAATAGGTGGAAGGACGATATTGAAGGGCAGTCGGGGAGGAGGCAGGGGGCTCACACCTCGTGCGATCCTCAGCACTCTCATGATGCGGATGATGGTCGGGTTGATGGGCAGAGCGTTGCCATCAATCTCCTCCAAAATGATGCCCATGATGGACAGCAGCACGATGGCCAGATCCAGCTGGTTCCACCTACACAAAGAAACACACACACATGTTGGTCCCTGGCACTGACCTATTTTCCCTGAAACCGATGATAAATGAGACTTAAAACGGATCCAAACTAAATTTGGAATTGAGGGATTTCTGATGTGTCCTATCTCTTTGTGTGGTGATGTGAACTCAAGTTAAAAGAACTTGAATCAAGAGACAGAAAATTGATCACTTGCGACTAGAGCAAATAAGTTGTGACTCCCCAGGAGTCAATTTCATTATAGCACTAGCTTGAACCGAACATATTTTTGCTCTTGGTTTTAAGATGGTTATTTTGGTGAATGTATGACTGCTTGAAAGATGATTATTATGGTATAGATGGACAATGAAGAAGTGGGGCAGGGGTGGTTTGATTCGAACTCATAGACATCTTGAAACCTTTTTTCTGATGTGAAAGTGTTTCACTACAATTCAATGGAACAGAAAGGAGCCAACTGCTGCTGTGCTTTGGGAGGGAGCGCATAACTTTTTATAGCCACAGTTACCTAATCACATAAACTTCAAATTTAGAGGCCAATTATTGAGTGCATGGGAGTGTACTGAATATTATTTGGTGTTTAGGCAGCAAAAGCATCATTTCATTCCATTGTATCATAAGAATAGATTATGGTAACTTGACTTCAGAGTGTTCTGTAATCCAGTAAATAAATCTATTAATGTGTCCTGAACAAATGTCTGGGACAAAATGACCGAATAACAGTCAGTGAGGAAAGTGGTGGATGGTCGTACTGTTCACATTTATCAACGTTCTTCTCTCAGAGTTCAATCTGTGGCTTATCCTCGACATCCTTAATGACATGCTCAAAGTGGGGGAATCAACACAACAACATTAACTCCAAATCCAATTAGCTTTTTAAATGAGGTGAATGTTGTGTTTGTGTGAACCAGCATCGGAGTGTATGTGTATAACGGTTATATCAGACTTCTGCCATATACAAAAAGGATTAAGAAGATTACAAAAAGGATTGACTCTGGTAAAGAGAGTGGACATCATGGAGCCCCTCGTTGGTTCCAAAAACCAAACGCCTCCACTGATGTGAGTGTATCTTTGTGCATGTGATGTGTGGCAGTAGACATTTGTGCTGTTGTGATTGTGCTTGTGTGTTATAGTGTGGCTTTCAGCAGGAAGCCAGGGATTTGAAAGCTATGAAATCATGTAAGGGAGCGTGTTTTATGGGTTTTTAACAAGGATGTTTGTATTCATACAGACCTCACTGAGAACCGTCCACTGGAGCACGTGGCCTCAGATTTTCCATATGACTCAGAGGTAAAAGAACTTACCTTTAACCAGCATTCTGTTACAATATCACACCCACCAACATGCCAAAACCCTAAGCTTTTTGTTACAGGATTTCTGTCTGATCTCTGTCAATTTTTTATCATAGACTCATGGAACCGTAAATGGAACCATCAATAATATAATCCATTCCTGTCAATAAATCCTACTTAATTAGACACATTGTTTCTTTAAGGGGATCATATGAAATAAAAACTGACTTGTCCTTGAAGAAGCGTCGTAGGCCAAAGGCCACCAACTTGAAGACAGACTCCAGGACAAAGATGATGGTGAAGATGTAGTTACAGATGGTCAATGCCTTTTTCAATTCCTGAGGATGTCAGAGAGAGAGAAATATGAAAAATGATTCAGCTACACAAGTATCCACCGTGAAAAGTTAGGCAAGCATAAGATTTTATGGTTTCTTGTGGATTTCATTTTAAGAAAAGTGCTGAAACTTTGCTAAAACTCACTGAAAGGAATGTTTAATGTATTTATTACCTTTTACCTGTTAACTAATTGACTTGCTCTGTTGGATATTTTTGCTGTCTAACAATAAATTATTCCTGAATTTACGGTCTTCAATGTTCATCTAAACTCTTTCTGAGGGGGTCACTCATATCGTCCCGGCCAATCCCTCATCATCCACAGAAAGGCCATTAGAATCAAAGTGTCCATTCTAGCCTTTGGGAGAATTCACAGTTCCCATCTGCATGTAAAAACTGACCTTTAGCAGCGAGACAGGGAGAGAACATTTGGCCAACGGGGATTTCATGAAATAAAATATCCTTAATTCTATCTGGAGACATTCTGTTCAACAAGGCAATCATTTATCAACTGTAAAACCATTTGCTACAAATATTGAATTCTTTAAAACCACTGACAGACTTAACCCAACAACTGTTTTATTAGCAATTTTCTTTCAATTTTGTAAGGGTCCTGCTCTCAAACTGAACAAACACTATTTATAAAGATAGAAAAAAATGCTTCTTAAACAACCCTACATTGAATCAAGAGCCTTTTCATTCTACCCAACAACCTTCTGTTGTACCGTCAGACTATTTATTCTTCTTCAAAACCATCTATGGTACCTAATCTAATGTAAGACTTTGCATTAGACCCAGTGCATTATATTGTACTGTAAGTGTCTAGTGTACCCAACAACTTTCTGTTTGTATCTGGAGTTTGTATTTTAACCTTTCTATCATACACGAACACTTTGCAGTCTACCCAACAAGCAACATCCCCAATAACCTTCCGTTGTACTACATAACAACGTATATTGTATATGTACGTATGTACGTATACCTACAGACTTTTTATTCAACCCGACAACCTACTGTTGTACTTGTAAACCTTCCATTGTACCTAAAAACTTCATATTCTACTAAAAATACCTTTATTGTACCAAAAGTCCAATTGATTCACAGGATATTTCCACTATTATATACTTCCTAATTCATTAACAACCTCAGAAGCCCCACCCACCCACAGCTATGATGCCACACTACCTGCTAATGTCACCGTAACCCTTGTTGTATTATTCTCAAACGTTTTTCTGCCAAAACGTTTTTTAAGCTGCATCACGTTGTCTCTTTTATTCTTGCGGTATTTTGCTAAATACTATCTTTCTCTCCACTTCCCTCAGCCACCTGTTGTTCTACCTCCACCTTAGGGGGTTCAATCAGTTCCGAGTAGGTGGCCAACAATATGTTGAAGCAATAGAAACATTTCTATCCCAGCTGGAACAGCTGCCCAGTGGCGATTAACTTGGGCTACAGGCTATAAATCCTAAATATTCATGGCAGACCTTTGTGTGGAAACTGAGGATGCTTATGATTTGTTTTACCTTTCAGGAATACCAGAATTTATCTTTCACTCTTTTGTTGGCAATGTCATACTCTCATATTTGAACTCTTATTATCATTTTATTACTCTTATTTTCTGTTCCTTTTATTGCCCTTGTTTAGAGAATTAGGAACGCTATTTTGTTTCAAATTATTGCTATTTAATTATCATTGGCGCAACTTGTATTTCTGAAACTATGTAGAGTTTTAGGAGGATTTAAACTGATATTCAAAGAATTATTTAGTTTTAAAATCCAAAGCAGATCCAGGTCAATAGTCAATATCCATGAATTTGGGATTTTATACTGAATTCTAATTGTGCAGTGGTGGACATGCCTTTGATTCAGCTAGAACCAGATACATAACATTTTAATGATAATAATTGCATTGTAATACAGGACAAAATAAAGGTCCGTTGGACTGACAAGGTACACAAATTACGCATTAGCATCCTTGATACCCAACTTAAATGTCACTAAGTCCTACATGTGATTGCAAACTCTAGGACAAATTAGAAAAACGTATTACATTGTATATGAATTATACAGTATATTATGAGTGCAAGTATGGACATCAAAAGCAAAGTGCCCCTCTTTACCCCTCCTTCGCCCCCCCAGATCTGACCTTGGGCTGCTGGTAGTGCTCCATGGACATGGTGATGACGTTGAGCCCTATGATGATGGTGATGAACAGGTCCAGGTATTGGCTGGTGCACATCTTGTGGATGACAAGGCGAGTGGGGGAGTAATCTGAGTAGTAGGGCTTACTCTGAGCTTCTGTTGGAAGGGGGAAGTAGTGGGGGGGGTTGGGGGGGGATTGGGAGGTAGCGTTCATAAAGTGAGATAGGCGGCATCATACTGGGACACTGTACAGTGGACCTTGTGTGTCGAGGACCGGAACATCCGAAGCCGCTTTGATAAAAAGTGGTTAGTGAAACAAAACAACAACCACCTATTCACAATCAGAGGACTCAAAGTGGTTGATTCACATACAAAAAATAGGTCTGTAAAGAGAGATATTGAGGACAAGGCCGCTCAGATAATGGACGGAGAGAAAAAAAGAGACTCCAGCAGAGCCCTCCTGTGGTCAGCTGTCATGACAAAGCAAATCCAATTTCCTTTATTCTGATCAACAATTGTTTAATTTACTCCCCCCTGAATGAGCCTGATGGGAGATAAACAGCACTGCTCAACTCGTGTGAGAGTATGTGAATGAATAACTCTGGGGAGAAGGCAAGACTTTCCCGTCCAGAGTCTTGGCTTTTTTTTCTCTCTCCGTCGCTCTGAGCGTCATGTGTCACCCCCACTCCCTTCTTTCACTTCTCTCCTCTTAAAAAAAGAAAGGTAACGTAACACAGGAGAAAAGTTTCCCACCCTCCATCCGTCATTTTGTTCCTCACCTCTTTCCTCCCTCCGGAGAGGATGGATTGATGGGCTGGGAGATGAGGATGAGGAAGAGAGGGAAGGCTTGCCCGATCTATCACCTTATCAGTGGGGGAGAGGAGGAGAGGCTCTGGGTCACACGGGAGACGCACTACTACACACCTCTGGGTGCTGTGAGCTCTGCCTCTCTCTGCCCAATTAGACCAGGTGTGCTGCTGTGGCAGCTGCAGCTGTGCTGGGATGGAACAAATCCCACAAGTGTGTATGTGTGTGTGTGTGTGTGTGTGTGTGTGTGAGTGGGGGGGCTGAGTGTTTCCTTTTCTTTTCTGTGTAACTCCCCCCAGAGAGGAGGGGAAAAAGTCAGGCGAGCTGAGCAAGCGGACTCAAGAGTCAACAGCATACATATCCATTCCTGATGTTGAATATATGTCTACATTGTTTGGGATTGAAATTCATCTCCTGAGATAAGGACAGACACCTATTGACAGCAAAAAAATATATGGTGGCAGAGTGTGTTCAATCTCAGTAATAATATTGATTACAAGGGATTCAATCTAGATTAAATCAGTCACCAATACGCCCCCTTGACTTGATCTGAGATCACTGTTCTCTGTTTATATGTATTATATAAAAAATAACATCTCCAATCATATTCTAGAGAATAATATAAATTGCGGTTTGATGAGTTGTTGAGGTTTGGCAGAGGCCTCCACTGCTGCTGAGCTAAATTCAGATTTCAGATTTGTCATCAGGATTATCGCCTGCTGGTTATTCTGGAAATTGACGACAGTGCAGATGAACCTGGATCGCGCTGGTTGGCTGAACCACAGCGCAGCAACTGCTACAGAGATGTGCCAAATGAGGAGGCCTCAGGTGTGCTTGGTCTGGCTTTCCAAACAACTGCACTAACACAGGATGACATGCTCCGGTACCTGCTTTGTTGGCTTTTTCGACACCTCTTGTCCTGGAATTGTCTCTGCAGCAACACTTACTCATGTTGTCAGCTGTTTTTATTGAAGAGGACAATTCTGCGCACAGAGGAGACACGGTTAAAGACAATCTAAAGCACCGTGGGTGAGTCTGGCATGTGTTTGAATCGGGGCAGTTAGGTATCGCCCCTGTGGAATGCAACGACTCGGTTCATTCAATGGGAGTTCCTGTTTACGAGGCGCTCCATCATCTTCGGACCAGCAGACATTATTTTTTACTCTGTTCTACTTACTGTCTGCAGGTGCACGGCGAGCCGCTCTCATACATAAAAAAGCAGTCCCTTGGTTACACATCTCCCCTCGACTCCCTCATTTATCTAATTGTGTTGCACACTTTTTGTCTGGAACATATGTGCACCTTCATCAACATCCCTCTCCAGTAAATAAAAAGAAGAAAGAGTTGAATGTAGTATGTAGTTATTGAAATAAATATAAGAGATTTTTAATATTATATATGGGGCAAAGGGGGCAAGAGTGAACAAGACATAAGGGCTTAGGGCAGAGGAAACGGAAGGAAGGAGAGGAACCTAAGGCTCACTAGACTCTAGAGGAGAGGGAAGGGAACGAAGCTAAAGGTGAATGTTTAGAAAGCCAAATTACACCGCTGCCCCATTTCTCCCATTTCATTTCATGTTCTTATTTCTACAGATCTCTTCTCCTCCTCAGAGGAAATGCGTGAGCGTGCTTTTAATGAGGAACGGTGTTGATATGGCTCCTACTTTTAATCACGCTCGCCTTGCACCAAAGTTTGTTAATACTTTTTCCTGAGAAAGCAACAGATGGGAGAGGTATTGAGCGAAATGAATACGTGATTTAGCTCCCACTTTTTGCTGCCCCCCCCATCTTCGATCGTCTCCTCTCCTTCACTGATGCAGCAGCCTCCTCTCTCAGCTCTGACAAAATCACAGGGAAGGAGGACGGGTGCCAAAGCAAAGACAGCGTCACAAACTCGTTCTCTGCATCATTTCAGTGGACAGTCAAAAGACCTTCCAGGACAATCTTCTCTGGGGGACTTAGATCTCCTTACCTTAAATAACTGCACAATCTTCTATGGATCTATCCACAATCTATATGGATGCATTATTTGTCTGTGTTAAATTTTTATTTTTTCTTTTATTAGATGACCCACAAAAGGTTTGGCTTTCCCCAAAAATTCAGATTTTTTGTTCCATGGCCAATGTCCACTGCTGTGATGCGTGGTGGTGCCGGATATGATCCGCTGATATGCAAAACTTTGTGGATATGAGGGACATAATCTTTTTTTTTGCCGATTCATTAAAAATCTCCAAATTGCATAATACAATGCAATTTGGAAATTTGTTCCTCAGCTTAAGGCTGATAAACTGAAATAGAAAATATTCTTTTGATTTGATGGAGACAAAACTAACCATCAAGATCAAAGCAAACATCTGGTAAGGAGTGGGGCGGACAGTTGGTCTTTAGTTAGTTAGTTTCTTTTTTGAGCTAACTGTTTTACAAACTATATCAGGGTACTGAAAAAGAGACGGCGCCACGGCGGAGCAACTGGAATGCCGCGCAGCTGGATCATGTGGACATTCCGTTTTAGGCTTTGTGCATGACTTTACTGCCAATAAGGAGATCTGAGAAACCCCATTGAAAGTCTGCCTGAGGTACGACAGACGACAAGAAGCAAAAACCTTGTTAGAAAACAAAGACGTAAATAATTCCCAGTCCAAAAACAACCCCAAGAGCCTCTTTTGCCTTTTCAGTGTACTTACCTGCCCCTTCGTCGACGCCTGTTCTTAGGTCACCCTTGGGGGTAAAGATTAAGGGCTGGAGATCCGGCCTGGGAGTTGCTTTTGGACGCGGCCACGCTCAAAAACATAACGCATACATTTCCGAGGCGGTCTTTGTTGGGAAATACAGACACAGTAAGGTTCCTCGGGTGGGGATTGCCAATGAGTAGGAAAGGCACAGTACCGCACTGTGGCGGTACTGTGCTATGCTGTGAGGGTGAGCGCAGGTTGGGTTGGATTGGATATGTAGAGAATGGGTCGGGAACGGAGTAGACCTACAGCTGTCCACAATGAGGTGATCACTTGGCGCTGTCTGCAGAAAGTTGTGAAGTGGAAAGGCTTCTGTGTCATCTAGTTTAATGAAAGGTAGGTCTCAGCATAAAGCTCAAAAAACAACACTGCTATACCTTCGACTCAGTGGTGCAATGGTGTGTTTCTGAAGGCTGTGTGGATTTGGTAGTTCCATCTGAGTTGTTTACGGATATCGGAATATTTGGATAAGAAGTGCGGAGAGGGATGGATGATGGGAAATAGATGAGATGTAGGGACTTAAAGTTTGGAACCCACATGATAGAAAGGGTGGCTGTGAAAGAAAGAGCAGGGCTCAGGCCGTAAAAGCAGCAACAGTGTACTTCAAGATAAGCTGGAAGGAAATGATTAAAATATCCATGTGAAACATTTTTACTTTCAAATTTCTAAGACAGCAGTTTAGTTGGATGCTGCGGCTGCTTTTACGCCCCTGTCCTTGGTGATGAATAAACCTTGAGACTCAGTGCCTGCCAGGAAAAATGTGTCAATGTCAAGGAACGCTCGTCCAATTTGGAAATCCAACAAACACTGAGTCAAAAAAAGAAAAGACATTTGTCAACACAAACAGTTGTTGTAAAATAATCAAAAAGAGATTAAACTGGAACATCAAGGGCTCTGCTGCCTTGCTTAAATACCCAGCAGAGAGAAAGAGACACGAATAAAGAGAGAACACAGACAAACAATATAAAAGATAAATGAATTAAACCGAAGGGACAACAGAGAAGAGCAGCAGAGCAAATTGAGGGAGTCCAGCAGAAAACAGGAAAAGAAACAAGGAAACATGACATCAATTCAAATGACACGGCATGATAAAACCCACACAAACCCCCACACACACACACGGACTAACACGCTCACTCATCTGCACTCTTTCACAATCACACACAAACACATAGTGCTGGTTCACGTAGTAGACTGACACACTTCTTTCTGAGTCATACTTGAGCAGGATGGACCAATTGAAATGGGGGACTGAATGGTGAAGGCAAGCGATTGGACGGTGTGAGTGGAGGGCGGAGCAACAGCGATCACAGTAATGACAGGTACAAAACAATGGGAAGCTTTTTAACAGTACAGTGACAAAAGTGTTTTTTCCTTTCTCCTTGCAGACAACTTTATAACCAAAGTAACGATATCAACACAATGCCTGTCAAATATGGAACACAACTCAAAAGGTTCACACCTTTCTGCCCCTTAAAGTACAGTTTTCAGTGAAAACAAAATAAAATGCCTTCAAAGCTACACACCAGACAAGAATCACCTACAATAATTTGGAAATTACTAATCGGCATATGGTGGAGGACTGAGTGACTGCAGAATAAAACACACTGGATCATTT